CCCCCCGCCCCCCACCCCCAGCGTCAATTATTATACTGTGCAGATTTTGTGGCTTGAGTGCAGTTGTTCAGGGTGTGTCACAAGAAAGCTCTTTGGCTGAGAAAATGGGGGAATCTGCAAGGAGTTTCCCAACAAATAATAAAGGTAATTCCCAACACATGTGGAACATGATCATCCTTTTCTGTTCACACACAAGAAAAACATTAGTGCTGGCGACTTAAGCGGCGGAAAAAGTTACTCGTCTTTAAACAAGGCTCTAAAGTCATGTCGAATATTCCTGGGTGGAGGAAGTGGAATTTATAATGAAGCTTGAATAAGTGTTGGTCTTGTCTCCACATATGGTTCCACTTTGATTTGCTTGTGGTTTTATTGTTTTTGTCTGGGTATAGAAAGGTGGCTGGTTACTGTGGCTTTTGAACATTTTTAACAGAGAATCAGTTACTGGGCCATTTGTGGGGATCATCAGCTTGAGGGGAGATGAGGATGGGCTGTTTGATCCCTGCTATGAGATCTACACTTCCACCATCCACCACATACGGAAGCCTTAAGTATTTGCTCACTGGTTTGTGACACTGGCAGTTCTACTTCCTCTACTGTGTTGGCCACCAAGGGGAAATTCCTAGGCTGGGTGTTTTCCCCCATTGTAAAACATGAAACAAAGCTGAATGTGTCCCTTTTTTTTTGTACTTCTTACTGTAAGTGTGTTGAACTCCTGTTGGCTGTATCTTTTAATTGTGTACGTGATAAAGGGGATTTAGGGGGGTGTCCTTTTTACAGCCTGTTCAGAAGCATTTGCATGCATCTCAAGAGTTCAAGTGGTGGGGCATTATGCCATCTAGTGACACAAAAAAGCATCAATTCCATTTTCTTTAAAAATCATCTCCTGCTTGGACAAAAACGTTTTCTAATTTTAAGTGTCTCTCCACAGCAACATCCATCCTTAAGAAAGCCAAGAGACCACGGCGGGGCAATGTCACTTTTGACCAGGTGACAGTGTTCTTCTTCCCTCGGTGCCAGGGTTTTACCAGTGTTCCCAGTCGAGGAGGATGTACTCTGGGCATGATGCAGCACCACAGCGCGCTCCGCACTTATACACTTGCTGAGTTTGCTGTGGAGCAGCAGCTCCTACGCCGGGAAAAACTCCTCAACAGACTCAGGGAGGAGAAGCTGGAAGCTCTCAAACTGAAGGTATATAAATTTGCATAAAGGGTGTGATTTAGAAATCTCACATCAGTCTGTTATCCAGTAAAACAATTGGTCCTTTTGTCATTTTCAGCTGACTAAGAATGGCACTCAGGAGAGCGAGGAGGCAGAGCAGCTGACGGTGGATGACATCTCTGAGCAGGATATTGACATCAGTGGAGCCAGCCTCCATGAAGGTTCTTTCCTCCATCCTTACCCGTCGAAACACCGCTACTCACTGCTCAAAGCAGCTGGTGTGAAGAAGATCGACAAGGAGGAGAAGCGGCAGCTGCATGAGCTGAGGCTCTCCAGGGAGAACTGCGGTTGCGACTGCCAGGGCTTCTGTGACCCAGAAACATGTAGCTGCAGCATTGCAGGCATCAAATGTCAGGTAAGAGCTGAAAACCCCCTAAAACCTCACACTCAGGTTTAGTAATTCAATACTAGGAGCAGCCAAACACAATACAACTAGGATTTTCTGTTACAACTACTTGCTTCTGCTTCTTCCAGATGGATCATTCCTCTTTTCCATGTGGCTGTACCAAGGATGGCTGTGGAAACACAAAGGGCCGCATTGAGTTTAACTCCACTAGGGTACAGACACATTACATCCACACTATCATGAAGCTGGAGCTGGAAAAGAGGTTGGAAGAGCAGTCTAGCAACGAAGAGGAGAACAGAACAGGGGCTGCCTCCTTACCAGCAGTGCCCTCCTTCCCCTTTAGCTCAGAACTGGCAGCAGCTGGAGAGAACAGCTGCAGCAGCGATATGACAAACATTTCTGATTCTTCGGGTCAGAGTGATGACTCTGAGGCGGGCGAGAGCCCGTGTAAGCATCACACACAGCTGGATGTCTATGAGAAGGGTCTGAGCCGCATCCTCAGTTTCAGCGACACAGAGAACTGCTCAAGAAGTAATAGGAATGGTGGGGATAAGAACAGCAAAGACAGTTGCTGCACAGATCAGCAAGAACAGCAGCAGCCATCAACGGAGGCATTTAGTAGCTTTAGCATGGTGGACTTTGCTGAACAAAATGACAATATAGATACTACACTGTTGGACTCTACTGATGATCACACAGACAATCAAGCAACAGCCATTTCAGAACTTTTGGATGAGAACGCCAACCAGGGAAATGCCCTTTTCCATAGTGGTAGTGTACCACAAACACCCTCTCCCACTGTCGATCGCTCAGCAAGCTACAACATGGACCTGAGCCTCTCTTCGGAGTCGGACCTCGAGTTCTTTGACGGTTTTCCATGCTTGGGGCCCAGCTCACTCTATAACTCCCTCAAGGAGTATGAACACATGGACAACTTTTTTCAGTTTCAGTGGCCTAGTCATCCCAGCCTCCCTACAGCTAGTGACCCTGGGACCTGCCTGCTGGAGTCACTGATCGGCCTTTCAGAGTCTGTCCCAGAGCCTCCTGCCACGTTAACAGACAATCAGCTGTTGGAGGAAGCCATGAAGTTGTCTGTGATGGAATCTTTGAAAGTTTGATAAAACTTGTGGACAGTGCAAGAAGAAAGGGATTTGGGAGGAGACTAAACATGCACATAAGATGTCACTGTCAATGTGTTTGATTTTGGAGGAAGCTGTGATTTCCTTCTTGCCTAATAAATGTTCAATTTCCAGACTTGCCTTCAGATTGTTAGGGGTTTGGGATTGATGCTGTGTGAGTTGGCAGCTAAAAGTAAGTAAGTAAAAGTAAAAAGATGCAAAATAGAAATCAATTTGACCAGGCCTGTAAAAACCAATGATGGCTCTCAATTCCTAAGAAAGCTCTATTAACCAAATCAAGATCACCAACCATATGCTACACAGGAATCAACCTTTACTGGGGTCCGGGTGGGTATCTCAACAGAGCCGAATGTTCACCTCAGGGACTTTTCTAGCTTTTTAGCTTTTTGGAGGTAAAGTATGGTGACCTTCAAATGAAACCTGAGTCAAATCACAACATAGTCCTCTTTGTGTCCTCCTCTTTGGGTGTGCATCAAGATGACTTGAGTGGGTGGGGTCATCCTCGTGTTGAATCCTGAAGCAAGTGGGCCCCCGCCTCCCAAGAGCTCTCTCAAGAGTCTTATCATGGTACAAAAAAATCCCTCTAAAAGCTCCTCAATCAGCACTTTATCTGTGAAAATACTTATGTATGAATAGGCATTGTTTTGGTTGTATGGGGTCGATTCAACAGTCAAACGCTAAATTATGAGGTTTCTTATTTATGAGCTGGGTAACTAGATATAATGGCTCATACCATTAAAAAATTGTAGCTGTATTGTCATTAATTTTGTTAAGTTATTTCCTTATGAGATTATTTATTTCAGGTAAAGCCTACTTTCACTCGAGAAGCACTGTGGTTTGATATTTTCGCCTGAAAGTGCAATCTTCCTCCTCCTTTTTTGTCCATATCACACTTAGGCATTGCTATGAGAATTGGGACCACAAGTCCATCAGAAAGTATTTAATATCTGTTCTCACATACATTTAGCATTTTTGGTAACTTATGTCCTTATTTCATTAGTTATTTAATGCAAGACATTTTGGCAATAAAATGGGCCATTGTGAAGTTTACTGGATGTGCCTGCTTACCATGGGAGTTGTGCCTGCAAAGCATGTGTGCACACTGCTTCCATCTGAGCTTTGGGACTGAAAACTGTGGAATCTCCCTAATCACTGAAACTAAATTATGGGTCTATTATATTGCTGCCTATATTGTAACCATAGAAAATTACACTAATATTTTGTAACTAATTTATGTTTGACAAAAGAATTTTAATCATTGACAAATTTAATATTTTATTATGAATGCAAAAAAAATAATTTTCAGTCTGGAACAACCTTTGTAATATATGAATGATAGAGAAATGTATACTTATGAAGGTTATTGCTCTCCAGCATTTTAAAGTATTTTTCAAAGGCAGTCTTATGGTTAGATCTCTTAACAAAATGCCACTAAAACTAAGTAAATTGCAAAGATGAATTTGATTGTACTTTTTTGGGAAATATGTGACTTGGGTTACATTTTAGTATGAATTACACATGTAAAGGGTTTCATGGATAAAAACTGCATATATTATACAATTTTTATTACATGTACAAGCCCTGAAAATTGAAGCGTTTCCTCATTAATTATAGAATAAGAATTTTTAAAGGTGATTGTGCCGTCACCTGTGTGAATAGTTGAGGGACACTAGAGAGATGTACATATCTCACTTTTTCTACAGCTGTTTGAACAGCCTTCCTGGACCCTTTAGAAATTATGCATGCAGGTCCTGTTTGTTAAAACTTGTTCTAATTAATTGTATACTTTGAAAAGTGCAGAGTGCAAATTAAAAATGTATTATTTGCTTTTTGCATTTTTGATTACTTTGAAATCCATCAAATATTATTATGGCACTGAATTTTGCAAGCAAGTATTTGTTTCTCTTGTACAAAACATTCTCATGAAGAAATGGAGGCTGTGAGCCTTCATAAATGTAAGGTTTTACATCTTATTTTATTTTCAAAGAACATGTTGCCTTTTGTGTTGTATATATTTCTGCTTAAATGGCCCTGCGGAGGAAACAAAGCAGCTTTATTTTTACATATTCACACTTTAACCTGCTATTCAAAAACAGTTTTTGTCATCCAAGCCATTTTGACAGCCTGTCCCTCCAAATAATAATTAAAAACATTTTGTACATGCTTGACTCTGTTTCTTATAAGCTGATTTGTTTATATACAGTGGTGAAAGACGTATTCAGATATTTTAAATTTAGAAAAAGTGCCAGCACAGCAATGTAAAAGACGCAATGAAAATTCTGCATAAGTAAAAGTAGGTTTTAAAATATAAAAGTACTTGTTCTGTAGTAAGTCTCTGTGAATGATTACATTATTTGATTATTATTGATGTATCAAATCCTAGATCAACTTTTATAGTTGATCTAGTTGGAGCTAGTCAGTCTAGTGGTTGCCAACCTAGGGTCATAAGATAAGTAGGAGAGTCCATGGGATAATTACTAGGAAAACAGAAGAAAACTCGGTTACAAAAATGTTTTTATATGCTTTAATCTTTTTTTATTTTATTTTATTTTATGTATATTTTAAGTTGTCTTAACTTTGTAATTGAAAAGCTAAAGGAATGTGGACGTATAGTCCACAATGTATGCACTGAAATTGCATTCTCATTGTGTTATTTGTGTAAACCACTGGAATTCGTCTGTGGTTTATGGTCTCCATGGTTAAAGAGAAAAAATACTGACTTTGTGAGCTTACTCTAGTCTCCTGACTACCACAAAAATATGGCCAGAGATTTCAGACAAGAAGGAAATGTCAGGCCTGTGACTGCACACAGCTCACGTTTTACCACAATTAAGAAAATCAGCCTTTTGTCAGTGCAAAGTCTTAGATGTTGATAAAATTCCCTTTTGCTTTCTTTTGATTTCAGGTACATCATGATGCATCCCGCTTAAGCCAGTTTGATTAATAGAGGTCTGATAGTTTTGGTCTTTGGTTTACAGTAAAACATCCATGACGATATCTTTCAGAATTTCCTGCATTGTATTGTGGGAGGTCAGAGGCTCAGGGCTGTAACCCTTCCCAGTTTTTTGGTATCACTAACCCATTAACTGTGGCTCCATTTGCAGATGTGCTTCGAATGTAAGCAAAGTATTTGAACAAAGAAGGCATCTAATAGGCAATACCAGAAATTATGACAGTTGCCTGTTTAAAGTAACATGAGGCACTTTCGCCACCTTTTGGCGAAGTTAAAAACTACATGCAAACACCCACTGCAACTTAAATACAAATAATCTGAGATGCATATGAATTTTATTTCACAGGTTCCATTTGACAATTTGGCCAAAAGTCTGTGCCTTCAAACATTATGCACGTACAACCTGAAAAAGCAGAAAAAAGAAAAGTCAACTGAAAGATAATGACATTATCTGACTGACATCATAGAGGTTACAGGAAGCTTACTGAATAGATCCAGTCTTGGAAGGAGGAAACTCGTGTGAACACAGTGGGTTTAGTCTCTTGGTTGCACCAGCCAGCTGGACCATAGCTGACAACACCGTGAACTCTCCATGCTCCGTCAGTGAAGCAATTCAGTGGTCCTCCGGAGTCACCCTGGGACATATAACAATAAGAAGAGATACAAGGAGAGAGTTTGAAGACCACACAGTTAGAAGTATGACCTCTTACTCAGCCCCTTTAGGTTTTCTTTAACCAGAGAGGGAAAAAAAAATCAAACACAAGAACATTCTGAAGGTCACAGTTTGAGATTTATGGGAATTAAAATGCTTATTTGCATAAGCACACATTCTCTACCTTTAAGATGAGACTTAAGACATTCCTTTTTGATAAAGCAAATAGTTAGGGCTGGCTCAGGCAACCCTGAGCCTTCCCTTAGTTATGCTGCTATAGGCCTAGGCTGCTGGGGACCCCCCCCCTCATAATGATTCTCTGAGTTTTTCCTCTCTCCGTGCATCTATATGGCAGTGTAACATGTCATTAACTTTGTCTTTCTCTCCCATAGTGTCTTCTCTCTCTCTCTCCCTGTATCTTTCTACAGGAATCCCTGGCTCTGGTGCTTCACGTTTCTGATGAGCAGTCACCAGTAAGTGCGGTCTAGACTTTACTTTGCAAAGTGTCCTGAGACATCTTTTGTTGTGATTTGGCGCTATACAAATAAAATTGAATTTGTTAACTTTACCTGGCAGCCTGATACGATTCCATCCCCTCCAGCACACACCATGGTTTTCAGAGCAATGCTGCCCCACCAGTTAGGCTGGGAGCAGACTGAATGCTCCACCACATTTATGGGAGCCACCTGTAGGATGTCAGGGACGGCCCCTCCAACTGCAAAATGAGAGAGTGAAGAAGGAGAGGGGGATTTTTTTTAAATCAAATCTACATAAATGTGTAAATCTCAACACATGTGTGAGAGTTCACTCACAGTCCATGAGACCCCAGCCAGTGATGTAACAGG